CGTGATACAGAGCTTGGGAGATCTCCTCATCCTACCGATGACCCGTCCACAAGTCTTCGTGTCTTCAAATGTTCAGCCACCCCGTGGTGTGCTATTGCATGGTCCGCCAGGTTGCGGTAAAACAATGATCGCCAATGCGTTCGCGGCAGAACTAGGCGTCCCATTCATCCCAATATCTGCTCCATCCATTGTGTCGGGAATGTCGGGAGAGTCCGAAAAGGCTCTACGGGAGCATTTCGAAGAAGCCAGAAGGCTTGCGCCTTGCCTCATTTTCATCGACGAAATTGACGCCATCACCCCGAAGCGAGAAAGTGCACAAAGAGAGATGGAGAAACGGATTGTTGCTCAACTCTTAACATGCATGGACGATTTAGCACTGGACAAAACCGACGGCAAGCCTGTGATTGTTTTAGCAGCTACCAATCGACCGGATAGTTTGGACGCGGCCCTGCGTCGCGGGGGTAGATTTGATAAGGAAATCAACATGACCGTCCCGTCGGAACCAGTCAGAGAGCAGATCCTGAGGGCGCTTACTCGAAAAATGCGCCTCGCTGACGACCTAGACTTCAAGACTCTGGCCAAACGGACACCGGGCTTTGTCGGCGCTGATCTCAACGACTTGGTCTCCACGGCAGGCTCTGCGGCTATAAAACGATACTTGGAACTACTCAAATCGAACAGTGGGGAAGAGATGGACATAGAAGATCCCAATGACCTGAGCCCTAAAGTCAAAGAGCTGCGACGGCTTATCAATCACGCGAAGGAGACCCCTATTGGTGATGAGACGCAGACGGTCTTTGTCTCCAATGCAGACTTTTTTACCGCTCTCCCCAAAATTCAGCCGTCCTCCAAGCGTGAGGGCTTCGCCACTATACCAGACACTACATGGGCAGACATTGGTGCTTTGGGAGGGATTCGCGAAGAACTCAATACTGCGATCGTGGACGCAATCAAGTCTCCCGAGCTCTATGCGAACGTGGGTATTACGGCGCCCACAGGTGTCCTGCTGTGGGGTCCCCCCGGCTGTGGTAAGACGTTGCTGGCCAAGGCTGTGGCCAACGAGTCGCGCGCCAACTTCATCAGTGTAAAGGGACCTGAGCTGCTCAACAAGTTCGTGGGTGAGTCAGAGCGTGCAGTACGGCAGGTCTTTGTTCGTGCCCGCTCGTCAGTCCCTTGCATTATCTTCTTCGACGAACTTGATGCCCTGGTCCCCCGCAGAGATGATGCTCTGTCCGAAGCTTCTGCGCGTGTCGTCAATACCCTGCTCACTGAGCTTGACGGCCTCGGCAGTAGTCGTCAAGGTATCTACGTGATTGCCGCCACAAACAGACCCGATATCATCGACCCTGCAATGCTTCGTCCAGGTCGTCTTGAAACGCTTCTCTACGTCAGCCTGCCTAATCCCTTGGAGCGTGTGGAGATTTTGCGGACCCTTCTTCGCAAGCTTCCTATCGAGTTCAGCGAAGATATGAGGAGGCTCGCCGAAGAATGCGAAGGGTTCAGCGGTGCGGATCTGGGAAGTTTGCTGCGCCGTGCCGGTTACTCCGCGATTAAAAGACGTGATCAGATCAGCTTTGAGGATTTCGTTGCCGCTAAAGCTTTCATTCGGCCCAGTGTTACCGATCTGAAAAAGTATGAGAAGCTCAGGAGGGAGTGGAGCGGGGGCGTGTTGTAGATATCCGACTAGAGTGGCGTACAAGGTCAACCAAAGTATTGTGTACGTACGGGATAATGGTCATATAGAAAAGCCTTGCATGTGTAGATGCTGACAATCTCCTCGCTTGCTCGGAAATTTGCGATCGATGAGTCTACCAATGGTTCATTTTCCACGTAAAGTCTCCAAAAATTCGAATTGGGATGCGGAGGTTGCTTGGATCATCAGATGAGGACTTAATCTTGAGAAAAACATTTTATAAGGACAATAACTTTTATAAAGCGGATATATCTATTAAAGAAAAAAAAAAAACTGATGCACACCAAGACGCCTCTCATGTGGACATGACATGATAAATTAACAGTTGGAAAACCCAATAATGTACGCTTCGAAGTCGACATGTAATTACATCCAGAGGCGGCAAGTTCCATCCGCGCCTGCACTGACACACCACGGTTCTCTAGGATGCCAGTCGACGTCCATCACGCCGAGTTCGCCAGTGACTTTGTGTCCCTTGAGAACCTTGAGCGGTACAATGGTGGCATTGCTGAGCATATCCCCGGTAACACTGCCGTGGAAAATTTGAAGCGAGCCGTCGTCACTGGCATCTGCAAACAGGGGGTAGCGGCCGCCTGGGTGGAACTTGACAGCACGAATGGCCTTGCGGTGGTACCGCAGTGTCTTGTACGGACGCTGCGACAGTTCGAGATCATGCCAAAGGAGACGGCGATCATACGAGCCGACAATAAGATTGTCTCCACCGGAAGCGGTGGCGGAAGTCGGGTGGATGTCGAAGGAGGAAATCCAGCGAGCACCAGGTTGTAAAATCTTGACGAGAAGTTGACGTGAAAGATCGTATGCGCGAATGCTTCGCTGGTTTGCGACAAAGAGGATCGGTTTCGAGGGGTGGAAGTGAGCAGCCTGAGGAGGACCACCACCCTTGATACGCCGGCGGAAGGGGTACTGAGTCAGATGCTTGGAAAGAGTGTGGATCGAAATCGCCACGGAAGCTGGAGTTGATGAGCCGGGACAAACCGTGACAAAGTAGTCACCACGTCGGTGCCACGAAAGGGACTTGGCAACGTAGCGAAGAGGGATGACAGCGCAGACTCCCAAATCAGCAAGTGACGACGAAGGACGTATCCACTTGGGAGGGTTGTTCTTCTTGTTTGCTTCAGCACCAGTGGGAGGAGGGACAGATGCAGCATATCCCCAGCCCGCATCCAGAATGTCCAGGCTGGCTTTTTCAATTGCTGGGTCGACAATTGGAGGAACAGCAAGGAAAATGTCGTCGCCAGCAGCCGCAGCGAGGATAAGAGCATCCTTGCCCGGTCTCCAACGAACAACATTAACAGGGTCTTCCTCGCTCAATTTCACGCTCCACAATTGGCGGCCCGTAAGAAGTTCCCAAACCCGAACAGTTCCGTCATCGCCACCAGTAGCCAGCCACAGACCGGAAGGATCAACAGCCAGCGTACGTACCCGACCATTATGCCCTCTGAACACGGTAGCACAGGCAGTGGGGAACGGCTTCAACTCCTCAGGGCTCGGAAGCTTGGGCAAAAGGCTTTCAGGGTCGATGTTCAGCTTGCTCCTACGAACTCTGGGGGCCAGGTAAAGATCCAGGCACCGCTCGAACTTCTCCTTGACAAAGCTTTCATAGCCAGGAACTCTGCGCAAAGAACCGAAATCGTTAGGGAGAAACTCGCGGTCCCGGTCTTCAGGGTCAGCTTCCTCCCAAGCCTTTCGTTCCTTCTGACTAGGCAAATACTCTGGAGGCGGGTGATAACTTTCCTCATAGCCTGGAGGTGGAAGTTTAGGCGCAGGGATATGCATAGGATGATCCTTCCGCTCCGCTTCATCGGCCCAGAGATCATATTTGATGACCGTATCATCCTCCTGATCCTCTTCCGTTGGAGGCTTGAATGGGAGAATCCGGCCTTCTCTGATTGCCTTCACGATCTTCATAACCCGCTTAGCTTCGTGTTTCGAGGGCACAAACCGCCGTTTGGGTTCTGGCGCAGCACTCAATGGCATGATTTCCTGCTGACTGGTAAACCACTCAACCGTGGGCTCATATGGGTTGTAACCATCTTCAGGAATTTCGTTCATCTGGACTTTGCGCAGCAGCTCCAGCTCATCCTGGCTCAGCTCCAAAGGTTTACCAGTGGAAGGATCAGTAAGACCTGTCCAACCCTTGGGTATTTCAATGCTATCGAGCAGTGCATCTAAAGCTTCACCTTTCGCGGGGCGCAGAATCTTCTTCCCGTTGATGTCGTAACCGATATGAGGATACTGATCGTAAAATGAAAGAGGAATGTTGCCGATGGTGTTTGCATTCTCGTCGATATCAGAATATTCAGAATTATCGTCCGGATTGATCTCGTCGTAGACGAAGCGTTCATTCCCATTGGCGTCCCTCTCAATGCGATAGTTCAACTGTTCTTCCTCGCTCGAGCTCTCACTATCATCCACCGCTGCACCAAGTTCACCAGGCGTGGTGTTTGGCTTTTTCTTGGCTAAATCTTCTCCATCCGAGGGAATCTCGTCACTGTCGAGTTCATCTTCTTCTTCCTCATTTTCTTCATCGCTAAAATCATCGATCAACTCGACCTCTGAATCGCTCTCATCGTCGTCACTCGACAGGTCGTTGGCGTTATCCGAAAGCGCTCCGTCAAGGTTGTCTGTGTTCAATTCGTCTCCAGAAAACACGCCTGCCTCTTCCTCCACATCACGGGTAACTGCCTTGCGCTTTTTGGAAGCTTTTGAAGCATTCATATTGGCGAAAAACGGCTGCGTTCTTCCAACTGGAAAGCTTTGAACGATAAGCTGCAATTTTCAAACAACTTTTTTTTTCTTCTCTGTTTTTTGCTTTTCCCCGAAACTGAGACTGCTGACCGCCCACGTGATACGCCGCCTTGGTAGCCTCATCTTATCGCATTTCGCTGATCTTCCATGGATAATATCAATCCCCCGCCGTCATCATTATTGTTTTTGTTATTTATCTCTGCACGTCTCCAGCACTATGGTCATTGCCGACGACCGATTTTGAGCTCCCCAAATACTGTGTTGTAAAATCTCCATCCACGTCATTCAGCATGCAGTACGATGGATTTCCTCTCCCTCCAAACAGTAGTCATGACACCGCCTCGGTACCGCCTTTGAAAAGACATGCGGCTTGTGACGAGTGCAGTAGGTAGTCCTCGATGCAGGATCATTTTCAAGTGAACACCGAGCCTGACGAGCTTCAATAGGGAAACGGAAGTTGAAATGCTCTGGTGAAGCTACGGGATGTAGTCGTTGCCTTAGGCAGTCACTTTCTTGCCACTATTCATTACAGAAGCCGATGGGACGCCCACCGAAAAAGCGACCCCGTGAGGACAATGATGCGTCCGTATATGAAATCGCAGACAATGGGATGTGGACTGATATAGACGATGGTGGGATCTTGACTGAGGAAGCCGGGGCCGAAGCTACAGCAGCATCAGAGGCCCTGCGACTTTGTCCTCCAGTGTACACCACACCAATGCGAATGCCACAGGCCTTTCCTAATCTATTATCTACTGACGATAGTCACAATCACCTATGGGAGTTGGAATCCGTTAGATCGCTCGACCCTATCCCTGCGACTACCGGTCCTTGGCCTGATTTCTCCAGCGTAACGGCCGCAACTTCTGGTCCGTTCACATTACCGTCGAGCTTGACGCTGATCGATTCTCCTAGCGTATCAACCCCAAGCTCGGACGGTGGTAACAGTTCTCAGTGTACCTGCTTATCATACTTATATCTATGTCTCAGTCATCTTTCTTCCCTTGCTCCCTTTCCAATATCTCAACACACGTTGTGTTCGTTATTTATTGCTGCCAAAACAGCACGGGCTGTCATCCGTTGTGAAGTCTGTCCCACGAGCTTTGCTTTGGGGATGCAGAATGTCATGTTTACTGGAACCCTCTTGAACGTCATTGCGGATGCCTGGCTGCGAGTGTCGCAAGCTGACGCTGAACTACTCGGCAAGTTAGCAGCGCCGTCTGCTTATGTGGCTTCAGTGACGCAGAACTCCCCGAACCCCCCAGAGGCTTGGAAGGATTGGCTTCGACAAACTGTGAGAAGCGCTGTTACAGGCGGCCCGGCAGATCCTGCTGGTCAGGTGAATTGCTCGGATTCGCCAACATTACTTTCTCTCATTGAGGAAATGGAAGCCCGCCAGCACAGATGGCATCATCGATCTCGAACCGTGGAATCCCCAAACGAACCCAGATCTTGTTCACCTATCCCCCATGAGCACCATCGTGAAGAGGATATGCTTTGTTTTCGTGTAATCAGAAGCGCCAGAGATGTTATAGCCAAGTTTGAATTTGCACCGCACGAGTACCCGGAGGGTGCTGTTTCGGTATGAGCGATCTATTTGTTTACCTACGTGATTGGTGTTATGTAATAATTTATGCTGGGGAGTTAGGGCTTGCGGGGGATTGGTCCTGGGTACGATGCCATACTGTGCAAGATACCACTTCTATTTGCCGCCTTATGGGCCGAATCGATCAATGCTGTTCTTGCCAATGCCTGACTCGCGCCCCTGGTATTTTGCAATGGAGCAATACATGACATCGATAGAGCCTTTTTAGTCGGGTAAGAACCTACGTAGAGTGGTGGAGATCTTCGTATACTAGGGCGACAATGGACGATTGATCTTCATCATGACTTCTAATTTTCTCGTTCCTAGGTACAATTTCATTGACTCCGAGAAGTTGGTACAAGGATGAAGGGTCATTAATTGGGAGAGTGTGGTCATGACACCAAGGATCATTCAAAGGCGTGCAAATGGCAAGCGCGGAAGATTATTCATCCTCGTCGTCATCATCAACGATGTAGCGATTCTTCTTCCTCACTGGTGGCGTTCCGGATGCTCCTGCTTCCGAAACAGGTCGCTCTGGTGACGGCCGCTTTTCTTTGGTGGATCTCTGGACAGGGACATTATCTTCCTCTTCGCCTTCTGCATCCATCTCGTCATCCTCGAGAATCTCCTCGTCCTCATCATCTTCAACAATCTCAGGCTCTTCGTCACTGCCGACAAGGAAGCCATCGTCTTCGTCGTACTCATCCTCTCTCGTCCGTCCGCGACGATCGTAATCTTCTTCGTCATCGGTATAAATTTCACCGCGACGATTGGGTTTGCGAGGCTTGCGTGCACGGGGTCGCGTAGCGAGTAGGCCGTCGTCATCTTCCAGACCACCTACGGTCAGGCCAGCACCACCTGAGCGGTGGGAGAAGCCGACACGACGACCACGGTCGAGTTCACGCTCTGCGAGCTGCTGACGGCGACGTGCAGCTTTGAGTTTCTCACGCTCCGCCATTTCGGCCTGTCGCTTGGCCAGTTCAGGGTCCTCCTTAACCTCAATAACTGGCGCCGATCCATCCGCTGTCTTCTTGCTACCTCGCGCAGCCGCAGCCAGAGATTCTTGCAGACGCTGCACCGCATCATCAGTCTCCACGGTCGTAGGAAGAACAGTGAGGCCATGGGTCAAATGTGAGGTCAGTCGGAAAACCGACGAGGTCTCTGCGGCTGCTCCCAGGTAGACATGTGAATCCAGTTTTGTATCGTATTCGCCTGCCTTATTTGTGGGTGCCAGTGGCTTGGTGGATATTCTGTACTGCTCCTTCGGTGCCGACGCAAGCTGGAGGGTTAAAGATCCGTCTTCCCACCGGATAATTCTAGCATTTGATTGCAGGAGAGATTCGTCGTTCGGGTCATGACGCCAGCACAGGGAAGTGGCCGCAGTAGTGAAGGGAGGCGCGACGTACGTTTCCGGGTCGAATTCCTCTGTCTCTATCGACAAGAAGTTTGGAACTGGCATTGTATAGACCTGCGTATCTAGAGTCAGCCAACAGGGCAGCATGTTCTCCTTCGGCCCTGCTCCACGTACCTCGCCATTTGAAGTTACTGGCTCAGGCGCCCGGCCTAAACTCAAGTCCATAATGTTCACGGTTTCCTGGTAGTCCCCTTCCACGCCATCCTCATCCATGCGATCTCCGGCTCTGTCATATCGATCAATGTCATCTCCCGAATCTAGCTCCTCGTCGTCGAGTGTTCTTTGTCGACTGTCGAGCGGTCAGCATGTCTTAAAACTGAAACCATTGTAAAGTTCTTCATACTTATCGTCATTGCCAAAGCCCCCTTCCGACCCGTCGGATCCAAACAGATCAGCGTCGTCGTCCCCATTCAAGTTTCCCGCATCTGATCCAAAGGGGCTCGGATCCCGCGCTGCGGGAGTGTTGCTGCGTTCGCTGCCGACAGGACTGTCGGCTCGATCAGCAGCCGTGGTCCTTCCTGGGCGGCGTACCACATCTTCATCGGACGAAGACATGATGTGTGTTTTCTGAATGTGCTCCGGCCCTGCTGGGGTAATAGAGATTAACCGCAATGGCTGACGCGCAAACGGCGAAATCAGCAGTGCAAGGTCAGATTAATAGATGAATTGTTCCGGAAGGGCGTATCGGCAAGTATGAATAGAGATATAGATTCCGCTCACGCAATCGAGGTGAACTGTCAAAGTAGCACCTGTTGCGGAGCTTTCGTCGGAGGAACAACCATCGAGATTGAGCTATGGAGTATGGAACTGTTTCCAGGAATATCAGGATAATCCGTTCCGGACCTAACAAGGCTTAGCGGCGGGAATAGCTCCACAGGGCCAGACCGATGGAGGAGATCAACAACTGGAGAATCTTAGGAGTGGCAGTCAGTATTACTCTCCTTCTTTGTACTGTTCCTGTTCCTGTTCTCCTCAATTTCTTTACTTAGGTGTCTGGTCTAGCTGGCTATCTGGAACCCTGTGAACAACAATGGCGACCTTTTTTCAGAGTGTGTAAGTGTGCTGCGCGGCTCTCTTTTAAGATGGATTTGTTCCTGTACACCCCCTTCACACCGTCCCCTGAATTCCCAATATGGCAGCAGAATGATCAGACTCGGCACTGCAGGTGCAGAAAGGAAACTTTTCCTGCACCTGATCCTGCATGATCTTTTTCCTCATGTTTTTTTTTTTTTTTTTTTTTTCTTTACGCTTCTTGTACTACCTCCTTTTGAGGACGCCTCCCTTGACCTCTTTCTCCCCGCCCATACAGTCTCAAGAGTTGTGAATTGACTGCTAACTCGAATATCCCTATAGACGCCAAGGGTTTGGCAGAGGTGGTAATAATAAGAATAACAATAACAACGCTCCGAAGATGAACAACGGAAATTCTGCTCAGTCGTCGGCCTCTCAATCTGTTCAAGTGGCTCCTGGACCCAACTCCCCATCGTTTCCGCCGAGCGTGGACAGCCCCGCACCTTACGACCCTGACGCCCCCAAGTACTTTTTCCAGGAGAAGTATGCCCCTTTGAATGTAAAGGGTAACTTCCTGACCCTGTGTGCTTGTCCGAAGAACGTGGAGCTTGGAGAATGGCTGGCTCATCAAAGTAAGCGATTCTTGCGCATCCCCGTGTAGTCAGATCGTCGGTACTGACAGTCCGAATCCAATCAGTTGTTGAACAATACCGCTTGCTCCACGGCATGCTCCAGGTGATTCAGGAGGTCAATGGTGTCACTGGTTTGCCTATCTGCAACGAAAGCACATGTCCCACTATGTCTGCGGGTCGGTAAGTGACATGAAAATCCGACGGACACGCCCAATCTTCATGCCGCCTCTAACTGAATTCCCCAATAGGTTGACCTATACTTGGCTTGTAGACGGGCGTGCCGCCAAGATCTCCGCTCCCAAGTTCATCAATCGCGTTGAAAAGTGGATTGTCAGCAAGATCCATGACCCAGTCATGTTCCCTACCGAGAAGGTCACCGGCACCCCTGACACCTTTGCACTGCATGAAGCTACAAATGCCAATCCTGGTAGCGCCGACGCGAATTCTACCGGCGAGGAGTGGATTGGCAAGTCCAGCGGCTTTCCTCAGACTTTCTACAAGGACTGTCAAGGCATCATGAAACAGATGTTCCGTTGCTATGCTCATCTGTATCACGCACATTGGTTGAATCCATTTTGGCACATCAACAAACATGACATCTTGAACATGTGCTTCGTCCATTTCGTCACCGTTGCTAAATACTACAAGCTGGTTTCCGACAAGGAGATGGAGCCTATGCAGCCCCTGATTGACTTGTTCATCAAACAACAGCGTATCCCCCAGGAGGCGCTTGCGGGAGGCCACTGGGGTCAGCCAAGCTCTAGCTGAGCTAGAGGATGTCTTTTCTGACTTTGAGCGACCATTGAGCGATTCTCCGCTGACCTATGTTGGAACTGGCATTTCATCATACGGTTTTGCATTAGGATGATTCGCGTTTCCTATTCTGGGTACCCTTACTAGCAGGTGCTATAACCGTGTCTTTGGCTTTGAGCATTTTCCCGTCCGTGTAGATTCCTCGGACTCTGTTTTGTCTGTCTGGGTTCCTGGACCATCTGCTGTCATCAATGACTGTTCGGCTGGAATGGCACCTCACTTCGCATCTCCCATCCTCTCCTCTGCATACTTCCGTCGCAATACTTTACTGCTGGGTAGCATTGTCTTGTGATATTTGCTTCTGGGGATTATTGTGATGAGCATAGATTTTAACATTAAATTGGGAGAATCAGAAGAGACAATAAATCGATCAACATATGCAATTGTAGTTTGGCTGATGTACTCAATTTCTGAGGTTCAACATGGGGTGACCTGTCGTTCAGTCTGGCAAACGGTGACATTGCGCAAGAAGCCATGCACAGAGCAACATGACCCAAGGGTGAGTGCAATCCGAGCCAGGCTATGTGGTGATAGAAGGACAACACAGCTGGAACCCACTAGGTGACCTTCTAGCTGGCGTGCGTCTCTCTCTCTCAAGGAGTAGGGAAAGCACCTCAGCGCCTAGCGACTGAGACTCCCCATCCAGACCAGTAACTATGATGCAGTCGCGTGGAGCGTCTTCCATGGGTGCCATGTCGCTTCAGACAGGGCACAGAAGAATAAATCTCTCCAAAGTGATCTTCTGCTGTATAAACGCCAACCAGCAGTAGTGGTGTCTCAAAGATATACACCTTCTTCCTCGTTAACCTGTGTATCTTCCGGCCTTCTCGTCGCGTCCGGATGTGCTCTAGGCCGCTGATCCTCCACAGTACCGTTGACGACAGGGTGTGATGATGAAGATGCGGATGCTTCGTCTCCGTCCACTTTAGTATCCGCCTGGACTCTCTCTTCAATCCATAATTCGCCTCGATGCTCAATCTCGGTCTTCAAGAGTCCAATTCGCTCATTCATAGTGGTGATGACGCGCTCGTTTTCTGCGACGTACCCTTCCAGCTCTCGTTTATCGCTTTCACTCTCACAAGTCTCGTCTATAAACGCTCTAAGCTCGCTATTCGAGCGGCGCAGGTGTGCGATGGAGTTCCTGATTTCCGAGACCTTGGCGTACACCGCGGAGAGGGGCAGTTCCTTGATGGCTTCGGCAAAGGCTTCAAGGCTGATCGGCTGGGATTCTTCAGACATTTCTGCTAGCTGTGGAATAGATCTTATTGAGCTCCAGCAATAACAGACACCACAGGATTTTCTTTGTCTAAAAGTGACTATGTTAAGTTATCATGTTCGGGATCTATCATGGCCCAGAAGACTGCTTAATCTTATCGTTATCTCCACGTGACATTTATAGAATTCGTTTTGGAATGTTTGACATGAGGAACCTTTTGGTTTGAAGGGTTGTTTGCTAAGGTCCTTAGTCGAGGCTATGTTGAGATGTATCTAATTGCAGCCCTTTGTTGCAGTATTTTTGGAGAAATGCCATGCCGATGTTTTATGTAGGCGAACTTAGTGGCAGAAACCGCAAGATATATACTGGCATCGGCCACTGTAATTTCCCAAGCGCTTACCTCTCCACCAGCTTGGAAGCTCATATACTCAGGTGTCACTAGATGAATGAAAATGTATACTGGTTCCCAAACCTACTCTTACGCTCAAAACGCCTGCTCTATATCTATGGTTTGATTCAGGAACCCTCGTCTGTTCGGATAAATTGATATGCCGCTCGGAGGTCCGCTTTGTATATCGCATCCACATGGGACTTCAACACTCCCATTTCGTTATCATCATCAACATCATCCTTTATCGTATCCTTGCAGCAGGACCTCGAGCCCAAATCGCAGGATATGAGCAATGCGCTCTGTGTAGCATGGCGGACTCCATGCTCGGGGCTTGCCCCCTCGGGCTTGTTTCCGTTCAAATCAGCGATGTTTCGCTCCATGCTTTGCGAAATCCGCACTTCTTTCACATGTCGTTCATATAGTACATTCGGACGTCCTCTTTGTACATTTGACCGGAGACCTCATTCGTTGTCATTCCTGACCCTCAATCGATTTGTTCAGACCCATCCTCCGACTCCCATCAGGTCCTTCAGTACTTCCGTTCCTTTACTTTCGCAGTCTGCTCCTCCCGTTGAACATGGCGTCCCGCCTCGCTCCGACCCCTTCTCCCCGGCTGAGATCAACAAAATCTTCGGACCCAGAGCAAAAATACCTCCGGCGATGGGCAATCGTGTCCTTGCCGTACTGCACGGCAGACGTGTTGCCGGTACTCTCGACCTCGACCTGCCCAAAGACATAACTCGCTCCGTCCCCCCGTCCAGTCGTGATGCTGCCTTGGAGTGGCTGCGCGAGAACTATCCCCTAGATGAAGATGCTGCCATTCTTGCTCGTATCGAAAGAGAAGAACTCGAGGAGCAGCAGAAGCTCATTCAGCGGGCCGAAGAATTGGGACTGTACAAGCCTCAATCCGGAAGTTTCGGTGCTGAACGCGGTGACTCGAACGACCCCTACGGCAAGAGTGTCCTGAAGGAAATTCGAGAGCGGAACGAAGCGCGCCTTCTGGCAGAACAAGAGAGAAAGCGCAAGGAATGGCTGGAGAATGAGAATAAGGAGCGAGAACAACTGTTGCGCCAGGTCCAGCAGAATACAGCTCTGCAAAAGTTCGACGACTCTTCAGCACTAGAGGGTGAGTAGATCCAGCTGCTGAGTGGCGGATGCCTACCATTGAGGGGAGTACTGAGTTTGCCTGGTTTCTAGTACGAGAACGCGCGGATCCTGCAGAGCGCCCTTTACTCGCCTGGATCCAGAAGCACCACTTGCAAGCGACGGACTGGAATATGGAAGCGGCAGAAAAATCGAGCACGGTGAGTATTTTGCTTGAGCCAAGAGGGACTCAGACTCATTGCTGTCAAACAGGCTCGTCGCATCCTGCCAAGTCTCGCGCTCACTCTTCTCGTCCTTGGCCTCAGCTATGCCTTTGCCGCAAATTATGAAGCCCCAGCGAGAGCAGACCGCATGTGGCCGGATATGCCCCCAGCAGCCGCCACTGCGGTCGCCATCATGGGTGCGAATCTAGCCGTCTTCCTTCTTTGGAAGTTTCCACCGGCGTGGCGAATCCTCAATCGCTACTTTATCAGTGTTGCTCTCAAGCCCCATCCCTTGAGTATTGTCGGAAATGTCTTCAGTCATCAGCAATTCAGGCATCTGGCCTTAAACATGCTCATGGTGTGGTTTATTGGAACGAAACGTGAGTGCTGGTGAACCCTCTCGCACAGCCTTCTGATACTGACTTTGCCCAGTCCACGATGATATAGGACGAGGCAATTTTCTGGGTCTTTATATGGCTGCAGGCGCGTTTGGCTCCATGGTATCTCTGACAGGTCACGTCCTACTGGGTCAATTGATGATCACGTCTCTGGGAGCCAGTGGTGCGATTTCCGGCATTGTAGCGGCATGGTGTCTGCTTCACAGCCAGTACGTATTAGCATCCTGCACCTTTATTCTTTCAGTACTCGGAAATTGGAGAGTGCTTTACAGTGGCTGATTGATTACCCACACTACAGGGAGAGATTCACCATCTTCTTACTCCCCCCTGAATGGCAAGAGGTTATATCCGCCAAAGGATGGGTCCTCCTGACGGGCTTCGTCGCCTTTGAAATTTTCAACCTCGTATCCCCCTTCCGAGTTGTGAAGCTCGATCACTTTGCCCATCTCGGTGGATATCTGATCGGCGCTGTATGGGCCTTGGCGTGGAATGACGAACAAGAGAAGAAACGTAGGAAGAACAGGACCTGGTTTGAACGAGTTATGTCTGAATAGACCACGGTGATAAACTCATGTACTATATGCATACCTCATGTAACAAATCTTTTCTCACCTGTCTTAGCTATGTGTTAGTTTTGCGTTGTCAAGATCCTCGTATAGGTTGTTATGTTTCGTTTCAAGAAGAATACCCAGCTTTTTGCATGAGAAGAAATGTCTCTCTTCGATGTGACTGTAGACTTGACTCTTCTTCGGTTGAAACATGGTCTTACTCTGAGACGTCTAGAGCCATAACGCTTCATTGGCTTCTGAAGCTTACAAAGAAATCCAGATAGAGAAACTTGTCTCGAAGCATGCAGCTCTGCTCCGTAGGGGTGATATCTCCAGCACGAAAGGAGGCTCTACAAAACATCAACTGGCTTGACCAGCTACAAGCTCTTTCTCTTTTCGAAACATCATCTTGACAATTAACCCTTGGCCTTGGGTCGTATCAAAGGACGATAGCAAGCACCAGAGACAAACAAAGACAAACTGTTTGAATTCCAACCTACAGTTCGAGGCTTCAATGCCGTGTAGGATGGAAGATTTTTTCAAGGCAATCTAGACCTTCTAGAAAGTGTCTGAAGAGATCTTTGTTTGTCTGCTACGGATTCTTGCCTGCGGGCCGGCCTAAGGCACAAACAGACTTCCGGAACCGGCAGTGCAGTGAAGGCTTCATCCAGAGTCCAGATCTACGATGCCTCACCTCACGCACCCCGATCAGGTTACGCGGGATCGCATCACTGAAAGCTATTTTTGTAGAATCATCTTCATGCGCATGAAACCTGAGTGTGAGTAACCCCTTCTGATCTAATATCAGAGACCTTGGTGGTCAGCCAGCCCTGTATGTCCTGGTCTTCTGGAGTGACTGAAAGATGTAATCATGAAGACTCACGTAGAGCCCACTTTGGACGGTTAGACAAGAACAAAACATTGCTTTCTGGTGTTTTCTTGCTATTTTTTCGCCACGCTAGCGCGTCCTATCTCTTCTACTTTCACAGTATGCCCAGCTTCGTCACTTCACATCTCCCATACCTCTCTTTCTCCTTCTCATCTCCTCCGTTCAAACACTTCTTTCTATCAACACCGTCTTCCTCAGCTTTCCGCGATATCTGCAGAGCTTCATTAGCTTAACCAAACTATCTCTAAATATCCTTGGTGCTCTCACCTCATTCCTCTCAGGTCACCATTGTCGAGGCCTGACTTCAACACTTCTCAACGCGAGCGACTCCAAGAGAGGAGGTTTTCCTCCGTTACAATGCCCCTCATGCCTTCCAAGGTGAAGCGTTTCAAGAAAAACGGCAGGGCTCGTAGCTTGCGTCGCTTCCAGATGAGAAGAAGTGACAGAGACATCCACCTCGTCAACGGGTCTTCTGCCACCAGGAAAGCACTTGCTGAAGTGATGGCTTTGGAGATCAAAGACGAAACATACGACGAGTCCCAGAGTTTCTTTAGCTTCGCGCCATGGGTCCCATCAAGTGCTGCTGGAGACACTGACGTAGTTGAACCAGAGGTACTGACCTGCGTCAAACATCCATGGGGCATGATCGATTATCATCTTTATCTGAATAGTCTCGAGGGGGGAAAAGACATGCATATCAGGCGCGAAAACTTGTATCTGTTCGACGGTACAGATTGTGAACCCATCCGATACTGCGATCTCTTCGTTGCCGAGATTTACAGAATGGACGAAGACAGCCAGCGAACCCGCCTGCTCTTCGCCATTCTGCCCATTGCGGAAAAAGGTGCCGTCTTCGGCGAACGTAACTATGTCCTTGGCTATGACTGGAAATATAGAAGTTTGTTTGCCCGCCATTTCAATTGGATGCCCCACGACATTCGTGATATTTGGTCTGTGTGGAGCGAAGGCACAACTGTGTACACCATTTCCATCTCCAGGCTATTTAATCTCCTGGAGTCAACATTCCATAAGCGGACCGGAAGAGCTGGCGAGGGAATTTTGAGCTCAAATCCTCTTTGCACAAGCCTTCAAGTGAGCGATGATCCCGGCATGGAGATGGTCATTGTCACTATGTTCGCCCAGTTCGCTGCGGACTTTATTGATGTCATCTTCATTCAAGAAGAGTATCAGAAACAGAAATTCCGCCATCAACTGGCACGCTATGAAGACCAATGCCGACAGGTCCTGCAGCGTGCGTCGTATCGGGCCTGGTTTGCCCTCCGCGCTGGATCCGCGGGAGCCAAGTACAGAACGGAGAAAAACGATGACAACGATCCCTTCAGACAACTCCTCCAGGATCTGTATGCCTTGGAAGAGGAGGAGCGACAGGAGGAGGAGCAGTCGCACGGCTATCTGATGCAAAGCGGCGAATGGCGCGCAGCCGACTTTGAAACTTGGAGACGTCATCGCGAGGAAAACAGGAGGAGGCGCCGTGAGGAAGCTGTCCGGCGTCTTGAGGGTCTCTTTGCTATACCAAGCGACCTCCCCGAGATCAAGTCCCCCGGCGAGGAGTTCGAACATATCATGATTAAAGCTGGGGAGCATCCGACGATTGATGAGGATTATCCCCTTGACGCTCCAAGGACGCCTTCGCCCCCATTCCGCCACAGATCGGTTCTCCAGCAGATACAAAGCTTGACTCCAGGTTCTCCGGGCATTGTTTGTCCAGCGACGGAGGAATTCGATGATTTTGAGGCGACTGAATATCATAAGATACCCCTGCCCCTTCTGCTTCGCCGTACGCTCGAGCTTCTTGAAGAAAGCCCGGACTTAGATTCGCTCGACAACCGGGGCCGATTCGGATCGCTTCTGACAGACCTTAGAGTGCGTGTCCGCAAGAGGCCTGCTGATGTGTTCACCCTTGCACCGTCACTTGGTTATGAGAATGACAGTTGGAAGTTGGAGGTGCAGACGCAGCCTGAGGTCGGAGACCAACCGCCTCGCTGCCTTCTTCCTTCCCCTCTATTTGCTTAGAAGACATGTTCATGTCGTCACGGTGCCGGCGTCATCAAGACCCTGTACTTTTTCCTGAATGATTACTTTTTCCGTGTTGTTCACTTTGTCCCTTGAGTTTCCTCTGTTGCGTTTCTCAGTGTCTCGCGTTTGTGTTTTTTGACGGTTTTTCATGTTCAACCCCTTGAACGTTGATTCGACTGGTTTGTTCGTCGAATTTGTCCCTAACCTTTTTGTTATGAGTACGATACCCCCTTCAACATTGCACCTGCTTCGTTTCCTGTGCTTTCCCCCCCCTTTCCTCTCGTATTAACGCTTGTCTTTCGGCTCCCATTTCATCCCTGAAAATTAGTTCTCTATCTTCACACACACATTCTGCTTTAGTTCGCATTCAATCATTCCTTTGGGGGCATGAACCCCTACTGGTGTCGACATCTGTCGGCTTTTGTCACTGGACACGCCTTGAGGCCACCAAAGATCTTTTGTTCCGAGATTGTTGGGAATAGAAGTCCGGCTTCTCCTCTTGACGCTTTGGTCAGAGTATGAACACATGTCAGAGTCTTGGGATTGATGATTTGATTCAATTGTCGGAGGAAACGATGAAAAACAAAAGAAAAGGAAAAGAAAGAAACAAAACCGGAAACCCCCCCCCCCCCCCAAAAGGGCCCGAGGATAACAGAGAAAGAGAGAAGGATCAAAGAAGAGTCAAAAAAACAGATATCAAAAACAAAAGGACAACAACGTAATCATCATCAACAATATCATCCCATCACCGGTGATGGGATGATGTTGGATGGCACGCCGGTACGCAAACGACGGTGATGGTACGGGGATGGGGAAACACGCTGAGGTCGATGTCCTAGCTAGACTGGTGTATCTTTAGACCACAGTGAATGGAACCACTTGTCCACGGTGCTTACCTCCATTAGTATGAACAGCCTACAGGGGTTGTAAGTACTTCATTATTCTGTCATCAACCGTGAATCGAATATGATGGAGAAAGAAGACAGAAGTGATGAGATTGTAGATAAATCCAGATTCCTCATTGATTTGCGAAACGGATGGGGTAAGGACGCAGAGTCTTGAGGCTACTGGTGATCAAGCAGGTATTCCGTACTAGGTACCGGATCTCATCAAATCCAGGGCATTTGCAGCTGATTATGATCAGTCCGTTGGCATGAAATTGGTCAATGAATCAAATGTAGATGAGCTGAATATGAATCAAGTAGTCATCATTGATCTCTCCACAGCCACACTAGTTGGTAGTGCGACTCTTCAGTGCCTAGTCCATCAGGGATGAAGTGATCACAAGATGAAAGCTTCCCAGAAGAGCACCATTGTAGCTGATACTATATGGTTGTGCAGGTCCATCTGCTATCAAGCATCGTCAGCTTACATGAGCTAGGATGGCGCAAATCATTGACTATGTGTTCTCACTTCTCTCATTTGAGAGCGCCCTCACCTCTTCAGTCACGGATCAGCAGGATCTTCGAAAACAACAGATAAAAGTTTTTAACCGTCCCTGCCAAAGCACTCGGAAAACGCACAAGATGATTCGCCATATCTCTGCTCATCGTCAGCCAGATGCCCAACAAGCCCACCTCTACCGAAGTCAACCATGCGCACCAGCTTTCACCAGACAGGTGATAGCTACGCCAACGATCTACACGGGGAACGTCTTTGGATGTTCCAGGATCATAGCATTAGCAGATAGCACAGCCGACGACGTGCCATGACGGCTATCCAGGACTAGCCCTACTATCAGCATCTTAGACGAAGGGTAGGCGCTTGTATAGGTCTCCACCAGTTGCGCTGCGTCATGACTAGATACTGGTACACGGCTTGGATGTGCGATTGAGACTGAGGAAGGCGTCTATCTGGCCGCCGGTTCGAGCTGCAGCTGGTGCGAGAATTCAGTGTCCAGACCATGTTGCCCAACGCCAGCTTGATCAAAAGGATGGAGACGTCTCATACGAGACGGACCTAACTCATTCTGCCACTGCCTGGAGCATCCCAGACACAAAGACACAGAGGGATAAGGCGCCGGCAGTGGAGGGAGGATATCAACAGACGGTTTGTGGAATGAAGGCGCCTCTTAGCATAGCATAGGCACCTACATGATAATAATGACTACTCAGTACTTCAGCTCGCAAATTGTGAATCGGACACACTGCGATAGGCTGGGAAATGACGATAGACTGATCGCCCTTCATGTGGATCAATCATAATCATAATAATTACTCAAGTACCTCTTTCTATTCGAGTCAAAAAAGTGGCTGCCTGTAGGAGTGTGGCTAGGGAGGAGGATACCTACCTAGGTACTTAGTGGATACTGACCAGTGCGCCAGTGGTCACAAATGATAGGTAAATCTCCGCCGCAGAATCAGCTCGTTTTCCGACTGTAGTGATTGGTCAGCCAAGAAAGGAATCCCCGCAGGCAGCTCCTCCAGCCACATTGATAGTCAAGGTACCAACCGAGGTAGCTTACATTCTCCAGTGTTGTCTCTGGAGGGTACGGTACGACTCGTCTAGTATCAATAATGACGAGTTCCCTCGAACTTTGATTCAAGTGGTCTGCATTGTGCTGCATGTGTACATTATGTTTATATAGTGACTATCTACCTAGTACTAACAGAGGTATCTAATTCCAATATCTAACCGTGTACGCCTCTACGGAGTACTCCATCGGTATCCACTATCTATCTAGGTACACAAGTAGTGGTAGCCTCTTGAGGTTCCCTAGGTACATCACCATACATAATGCCAAGCAAATCAAATTCTTAGCTGTTAGCACTCTGCAAAGCTGTGGTTCGTGGTTCGGTTCAGCTTGATGATACTTCTCTCTGCGTGGATACAATAATATTATTAGTATGGGACGATCATTATTATTGACTGGCTGACGGTCGCTGGCTTTTCTTCCTTGGTACTCAGCCCTATCGTCGTCTCGTCATCCATTCCTCCCTTCAAGGCTTCAAACTGTCTACAAGCCATCCGCATTTCTTCTTCCTGCCTTGATCCCTTCTTCCAGCACCTTAATTAAGATCATAAGACTACCTTACTTGTCTATCTCTCCATCTCTTTCTCCTCTCCTTAGCAAGAACAAACTGCGCTCGCTGATCCGAACCAGCTGATCAGCCCTGTTGCCCCCTTCGCTTGTACATCGTGAGCCAGAGAATCCCTGGTCTCCTTAATAAAATTAATCTCTTCGTCTCTTTCACTTTCTTACAATCATTTGTCCCATGTTTTTTTTTTTTTCTTCGCTTCCGACTGCAATCTAACCACTTTAATCTGTTGATTTGATACCCTTTTGCTTTTTTCATCTCCTGCCCACCAGCCACACTGAGAGGCTTACCTTGCTCTCCCTTGTATTATTGTTGTATGACCCAAACAACCTAGCTCGTAATTGCCCAGTCTTGGTCCCCCCGTCATGGCTCACTCCTCCAGCCAGCCAAGTCATTATTATGGTGAGCTACCCATCACCCATTACTGATCAAAACTCTTTATTCTTCTTGCAATAACCGTGTCGCCATGGCTAACTATACGATGCATTTATTCAAGACGCTGTTCCAAATGGCCAAGCATACCAAAGCAACGCGCAGGTCGACGTGGTCTGCGGGCCATTGATCAACTACAAGAACATGACCGTCACCCCCTCCTCCTCTCTCTGGCATGGAAGCGTCTTGATTGTCACGAAACCCGGCCAAAGACAGCCCCAGCTGCTCCTGCGACAAAGTGGTCCGGTCGGCGGCAGCAATGCTCAGGTCAATGGCGATCCATCGACCCGTCAGCCCGTCGCAATCGATGGTTTGCGCCTTTACGAGGATCCCCAGAAAGCCTTCTGGCGCTTCTCCATCACCGTCCCCCTGGAGTCCTATGAAGCGCGCTGGCAGTATGACATCCCCGGCTTCCAGTATGCGGAAGCCAATCGAACGATTACACCCTGGAACTTTGTGGTGCCCTCCGTGAACCAGTCCATGCGGCTCATGTTCCACTCCTGCAACGGTTTCTCCGTAGGCACGAATATGGATGCATGGCTGGGTCCCAATTTGTGGAATGATGTCCTTCGCGTTCATGCGCAAAAGCCCTTCCACGTCATGATCGGTGGCGGTGACCAAATCTACAACGACGGAGTCCGGGTGGATGGCCCTTTGAAGGAATGGACGGCGATCGCGAATCCCCATAAAAGACGGACGCACAATTTCGATAACTCCCTGCGAGCCCGATGCGATGAGTATTACTATGCAAACTACATCAGATGGTACTCCACCGAGCCGTTCAAGACCGCCAATGCGCAAATCCCTCAGATCAATATCTGGGACGACCACGACATCATCGACGGCTTCGGTTCGTACACGGACCACTTCATGCGATGCGCCGTCTTTCGCGGCATTGGAGGCGTAGCGTACAAGTATTACTGCCTGTTTCAGCACCATCTTGCGCCGCCAAAATCTACCTTCACCACGGATGCCCCGCAGACTATGCAAGCGATCAACGGCACAGCAGGCGCGGACCCTCGGCAGACAGAGAACACGTTTGTTCTGGAAAATCAGCCCGAGGACAACAGTTGGATCGTTGGAAAAAGCCATGGGCCCTATGTAGAGGAGAAAAGCAGGAGTCTGTATATGCGCCTGGGCAAGCGGATTGCGTTTATCGGCGTTGATGCCCGTACAGAACGGACCCGACACCAGGTCAATTACCCGGAAACCTATGATCTTATCTTCTCTCGTCTTGAGCGTGAAGTGGCAGCGGCCAACGGGGATATCAAACATCTTGTGGTTCTTCTCGGTGTCCCCATTGCGTATCCCCGCCTCGCCTGGCTTGAAAATATCTTGAGCTCTCCCGTTATTGCGCCGATCCGCCTGTTGAACAAGCGGTTCGGTCTCGCCGGCGGCTTGTTCAACAAGTTTGACGGCCAGGTCGACTTGCTGGATGACCTGGATGACCATTACACTGCCCGCCAGCACAAGCGAGAGCGACGGATCCTCATTCAGCGTCTTCAGCACTTTGCCGCTGCGCATTCC